GGGGGGGGGGGGGGGGGGGGGGAGGGGGGGGGAGTGCGGGAGAGATGTCATGAGGCGTATTGTTTCTTGTAATCGTCGATGAAGGCCTCGATCTGTTTCTTGACCTGCTCCTGCAGTCGCTGCAGCAAAGAACGAACACCTACACACACACACACACACACAGAGAGAGAGCACTCATGGATGCTCGCCGCTTCCAATGTCTGTCTGTCTGTCCTCGCTCACCGTCCTCATGGTGCGATGGCGGTTTCTTCTTGTAGGTGAGCTTGGCGTCGTGCAGCCAGTCCCTCCCCGCCGACATGGCCGACGACACGTCAGGCAGCGACAGCTCACCGCTGACCTTGACCATCTTCTCCTCGTCGCTGCGCTTGTCGGCCGCCCCGATGCTGATGCCGCCGATGTCGGGCAGCCGCTCGTCGATGGCCGCCTCCCACGAGAGCTTGCAGTGGAAGTCGAAGATGAAGCGCTTGGTGCCGCGCAACACGGCGATGTGCGCCTCGCCTGTCAGATCCTTCACACTGGTGACCTGCAACTCGATGGAGACAAGGAGAGGAAGGAGGGTGAGGATCTTAGCTTCTAGGGGAGGGAGGCTGGCTGCTCACTCACCTTGGCGGTCATTTTCATCATTTTGGTGGCGAGCTGGGCGAATTTGGCCTGGAAGGCGTCAGGGGAGGTGTCCTCCATCTTGTCAAGACCCATCTGCACGCAGCACAGCACAGCACAGCACCACACAGATAGATAGACTCATGGCATCTATCCATAGATGCATTCGTGTGAGCAGGGTGTGGTGTGCAGGTGGTTACTTACCTGTGTGATGGCTTGCACGAATTTTGATGGGTCGGTGCTCTGGATGAGCAGATCGTCGGCGTTGGACACCTCCGCACCCTCCAGACGACTCCTGAACCGATCCATCGCCCAGCTTGTCACATCTACACACACACACACACACAACACAACACATACACATACATTGAAATCACGCCAACCCTCCCTCATGCAGTCGATCGACACTGACTGACCTTTCTCCTCATATGTGGTGCCGGCGACGTTCCAGGATGACACGCCCTTGGGATCGTTGGGCTGGGCACTCGCACTTGAAGGCGGGCCGTCGGCATCCATGGCGTCGGACTGATCGCTCGGCTGGGAGTGGCGACTCTGATGTGCACACACACAGAGACGGACGGATACCGAGTGCAGGGGTGTGTGTGAGAGTGCGCGAGTTGGGACGGTGTGCACCTGGTTGGCTGTGCCTTGGAGTCTCTGCGGCACGTGGTGTGTTTCCCGCAGCCTCTTCTCCTCCTCTGTCAGCTCCTTCCGGAAATAACAATACCCTGAACCAACAGAGAGCAATGCCCACACACGAATGCAACCATCTGCTGCTTGGCCTTCACGTGTGTGTGCCACCTACCCAATTTCTTGGTCTCGCTGATGATCCTCTGTTCCTCCTCGTCATAGTCATGCTCGTCGCCCTTCTTCTCCCCTCCCTCTCCCCCGGCCCCGCCCTCACCCTTGCCAGATGAAGATGCTGCTGCTGCTGACGGCTTGCTGCCGTTGGCCGCCTGTGCGGTGCCCTCTCGCTCACGCCGCCGCTTCTCGTCCTCTTTCCGCTTCTGATCGGCCTCCTCCCTGGCCTTCTTGTCGGCCTCCTCTTTCCTCTTCTTCTCCTCCTTCTCGAAATCCTCAAAAGAGATCTCGGACTCGCCCGCATCTGCAGACATTGCGGTAAAGAGGAGAGAGAGAGGGGGATGACTGCGTCACTGGAGTGGCGGATGGGGGCGAGTGGGTTGGTGAGTGGATGGGCGCTGACTGACCTTTTTTCCTGGCGTTTTCCTTCTCCCATCTGAGTCGTCTCTGTCGCGTTTCCTCCTCCTCCCTCTCCCGCCTCTCCTTGAGCTCCTTCTCACGGTCCTCATACAGCATGCCGCCGCCAGAGAACAGACCACCGAACCGCTGACATCACACACCACACATAGACGCACGGATGGACGTACTCATGAGCGTGGCGCATGGTTGTCCGGCTGTCACTGACCTTCTTCTGGAGCTCTTTCTGTTCTGCGATTTTGGTTTTGAGTTTGGCCAGCTCTCTGAGGGCGTCGGCGTTGGCGCTGTCGTACTTGAGAAGCTCCACAAAATCGCCCCGCGCATCCTCCAAATAACCCGACTGGCTGCGCGCGTGGCCGCGGCGATACAAGGCCTGATCGACGGCACACGAACCCAGTGTGCATATCCCTCTGGTTGTCGCGTGCGTTGGCCGGTTGCATACATACCTTGACGTTGGTCGGGTCGAGTTTGATGACCTCGGTTGCTGACTGTATGGCTTCGAACCACTCGCCAAGGCGGATGTGGACCGCTGCCAGATTGAGATGCAGCGACTTGCCGATCTCAGCAGCACCGTGAACCTGAGAGGGGCAGGCAGGCAGGCAGGCAGGCAGAGGAGGAGCAGGGGGGCCAGTCAGTCGAGTGTTGTGATTGAGGGTGTGTGTGCGCTCGGCTGGCTCACCCCTTCTGCTTTCTTCAGGACTTTGAGCCCCTCCTTGTACTTGTCACGGGCCGTGACGTTGTCGCCTGCGGACACCGTCATCAGACAGATGGAAGCAGAGACCGGGTGCGTGCGTTGTGGCTGCCTTTCGTATACCTTGCTTGAAGCGCTCATTGCCATAGTCTTTGAACGACACCGCCCTTCAGAAACACACACACACACACACTGGTGAGTGAGAACTGACGCAAGTCCTCTGTTTTTCTCCATCACGTACCGCGTCATCCGTTCCTCTGCAGTGATATTCTCCTCCCCGCCACTGCCCCCGATGTCATCGCTGTCGATGGACTCCACATCGTCACCCTTTTTGTCCTTGGCCGAAGTGGCAGGCGGCATCTCCTCGTCGGTCTTGTTCTTTTTGCTGGCCTCAGCCGCAGCCGCAGCCATCTCCTGGTCTGCTGGCATGGAAGGCGGAATCGATGCGCTCATCGTTGAATAGGTGCTTGGCAGACCACTTAGCCCAGCTCGGCGGAAGGATTTGACAAGACCAAAGCAGCGTGGCTGTGTGTGTATGTCAGCACACACCCCTTAACCCTTGTGCGTGAGCGTAGGACGGACAAGCAGATCCTCTGCGAGCTTCACTCGCGCTGGAGGTGAGCTCGCACATCTCTCGTCTCTCGAAGATCCTTCCTCTTTCCCCCGGGCACAGGCATCCTCATCGAGAGCCTCGCATAGATCTGGCGAGACCTGTCGAGATCTGCACACCACCGCACTGACCCCGTCTGGCCGGTCCTTTCTGCACTCGACGCTGAGCTTCCTGTCTGTCTGAGCTTCCTGTCTGACTGTCTACCTGTGACGAAGTCACCCACCCACCGCAGCACCCACACTCGGTGGCTCTTTTTCACACCATGAGGGCGACAGCCGTTTCCCTGCTCCTCATCTGCCTCTCAGCCGCTCTGGCACTGTCCGCCGCCTTCAGCCTGCGCCCGGCAGCTCGTGTCCTGGATGGCCCAGCCCCCCTCTTCCCCTCCCCCCTTGTGCGGCTTCGGCGGGTGAGCAGCCCTCTGCTGTCAACAGCGCCACTAGCAGGCATCCGTAGGCGACTTGGTGGCGCCGCGGGACGATCTCGACTGAGCGCCAAACCTGATTGGTGAGCACATAGCGGGATGGATTGAGAGCAGCGGGGAGACATGCCATGGGCTGTCGGGTGCATGTGTGTATGTGTGTCTCTGTGTGTGTCTCTGTGTGTGTGTCTGTGTGTGCAGGTGGCCTGATGCGATTCCGTTCCCTGAGGGAGGCGAGGATGGCGAAGGGTGGTCCATACCCATCCCATCACTGCCACAGGTGGGCAAACGCACAACCACACAACCACCGCGACACAGACACTAAACACCTGACCTGACTGACTGACCCACCCGATATGGTCTGTCTCTCTGCATGTGCCTGTGTGTGTGCAGCCGCAGGCTGTGCCGATCCCCATTGCCATCCCCGTGCCGGCCCAGCAGCCGCGAGACTGGCGGGACGACGACAAATGGGGCGCGCCGTACCCGCCCTACTCACCGTACTAGACCGCATGGCTGCCTCCTACTCAGCACAGAGAATTCGCGACGGCATGACTAGACGCTGCTGCTGTATATTCCATCCGTCTGTCTGTCTAGAGAAAGAGTGTCTCGGTATGTATTTGCTAGTGAAGAGAGGAGGGAGGGGGGGAGGGAGGGGGGTGGGGAAGGTTTTGACCGGGTGGGTCTGGCTGGAGTGGTGGGGATTGGTTACCGTTTTGGGGCTGGGTTGGCGGGAGGGGGGGTGGGTGGGTCATCATCATCAGAGAGGGAGGGTTTCATCGCCGGGGTGCTGCGTAGGAGAGGCAACAACACGTGTTTCGTTTGAGAGAGAGAGGTGAGGCCCATGCGGGTTTCTCGTGCCGTGGGTGCGCCCGAGTGCTATGGGGGTGTGCCGAGCGTGTCGTCAGAGATTCCGTCGGAAAATTCCCACTTTCCAAAGGATTCTGTGATGGATGACACACTCGGCACAGCCCCATAGCACCACGGTCAGCACGGCACGATGGACAGTTCCGCCCTGTCAGGTCCAGTTTTGACGTTTAGAGACCGCAAGACAGTCAGACAGACACACACACACGCGCGAGCTCAAGGCCGGGAGGGAGAGAGGCGCAGATGGCACCACCCACCCCAATTTGCTTTTTATTGCACCCCTGACTGACTGACTGGCCGGAATTAATGTACGGACACCTTCTCTCTCTAGCCCCCCTCTAGCCTCTGTCTGCCGTCCACGCATGGCGTCCCCGCCACTCACTGCGTTTTACATTTTCGTGGTCATGGCTTGACGGATTGCCTGTGCGTGTGTGTGTGTGCGTGTGTATGTCCGTGTGCACACGACGGGCGGCTGAGGTCTCCCCGGCCGTGTATAAATTCCCCCCTGTGCAGAGAAGGTCGGGGAGGCAGGCCGCTTGTCGCTTCGTGCTCGGTTTGCGTGTGTGTGTGTGTGGGTGTGTATGCGCGTGTGTGTGATGCTCTGCCAGACAACTAGGCACCGGGGGCAGCGCAGCAAAAGTGTGATGGCGCTGCCCCGGTGTCTGCGTGTTGTGTGTTGCGGGTGCGAGATGCGTAACACCCATGTGTATCTCTCTCTTTCTCTCTTTGTGCGTGTGTGTGTGTGTGTGTATGTGAGGGCTCTCGTGCTGTACAGTGCCCTGCGCGAGAGAGGGATGACAGGAAAGAAGGAATTGACATAGTCTGGTGCTGGTTGGTTGGTTGGTTTTGACTCTCCTGCTGCTGTCGTGTTGCGTGTTGCACGTCGAGAGAGCGAGTGGCGCACTCAGATGACATGGATGGAGTGGATGGAAGGGCATGTGTGTGTTGTGTATTGGTGGATCGGCCGATCGGTCTCTTTTTGGCTGCCTTCGCTGTGCCTATGGCCATGTCCATGTCGGCCCTCGGTGTGTTGGTCTGGGAGGCTGCTGCACATCACATCACATCACGCCACGGCACGCCCTACTCCACCACTGGCTGGTTGGATGGCTTTCCGCCGCCATCCATGTATCATAGCTAGACAGAAGGAGAGATGAGGGAGGGAGGGAGGGAAGAAAAGTCCACACACCGCCGCCTCGCTCATGGACAACCTGATCCAGTTGTCTTGATTTGGCGTAGGGGAAGAGACCTGCTGGCTGTGGGACATGTCAGTCGGTAGGTGACTTCCCTTTGGCCACAGAAAAGACAACAGATCGGGTATGTGGAGTGAGCGGGCCCAGACAGAAGAGGAGACGGCACAGACCCTCGCCGACTTGGCAGTTGCTTGCTTTTGTCAAGGCACTGGTACCGTGGTGGCCCACCGCCACACACCTGTATATAGCTACCTTCCTACCTACCTTTACACGACTACTATCTGTGAGTGAGTGAGGGAAAGAGGGGCACTGACTGACCGACAGACATGGCCAGCAGGGGACGGCAGCCACTGACTGATTCAGACAGCCGGATACGACACACATAGTGGGGAGTGGTCCTCACTTGACTGATACACAGGCACACGCCTGCCTGCCATGCTGCATGCTACTGCCTGAGCGAACTCCCACTCCCGGCGGCTTTTGGTTGTGAGAGAGACACACACAGAAGGCGGCGAGGCAGAGAGAGAGAGAGAGAGAGAGATGGGAGGTGGGGGTGAGAGGCAGGACAGATTTCAAGGAGCGGCGTTTTCTCGTCTCCCCGTGTCACGTCGGTCGACTGAGTGGGTAACAGCACTGGCTTGGCTGTCTGTTGTGTTGTGCAAGTGTTGGTCGGTCCTGCTGATTTGATGTGTGTACCACCGCTTCTCTCGAGAGGATTCTCTGTTCCCCGCCATCTCGTCGCCTGTCGCACTGAGGTGCCTTCTGGTGCACCAGGAGGCATTCAAGTGCAGCAGGAGACGGAACGGTCGGCCAGGAAGACTCCGCAAGTGGGTGTTTGTACCCCTGTCTCTCTCTCTCTCTTTCTCTCTCTCCTTTTTATCCACTCCCGTGTCGGTCGTCGGTGTGTACCTATATCGCTGGTCGATGTCTCTCTTGCTGCTGCTGCTGCTGCTGTGTCGTGTCTGCATGCGCCATCGCACTGCCTGCTGCCTGGACCTCTCGCGTCGTATGTGATGTGTGAGTGATGTGGTGCCTGTCGTCGAGTCCCTGGCCATCCAGACGGATGTGCCTCGTCAGACAGGGGAGAGAGAGGGCACACACAGTCGCTGTATATCTGTGTATGTATGTGTGTAGTTACGTTCGTTTGATTGCGATGAGTGAGGCCGGCCGGTTCTGGTGGGCGTGCGTTGTGTCGGTGAGTGGGGAAGAGTGCGTGTGTGTGTGTATGTTTTGAAACGGGTGGTCCTTTCGTGTGTGTACAAACGCGGTGAGTGGACTATGTTGGACGTCTCGTCTCGTGTGCGATGGCGTGGAGAGAGTTTGGTTGTGTGTAGGTATGAAGTACTGGAGCCTGTCTCTCTGCCGACTGAAGCTCGTTCCCATCCATCCATCCATCCATTTGTATCACCATCCACTGCCCATCAAGTAATGCACAGCCAGTCGGGCGGGCCCACCCACCTCTTGGCCCCAAACCCTAAAGGCACTCGCCCGAGCCATGGATCCCCGTGACGAGCAGTAATTCATTGAGCGCATTGATCCGGCGAAGATTCGGGTCTTCCAGTTCCACAACTCCGACGGGTTCCTTCAGACCGACACAGAGGGCATTATGTACAGGAACCGAGTGTTGAACGCCACTTTAGTACAGGAACTCCGAGCGCGTGGATATCTTTCGTCTTTGGTGTTTTTCAAGACCAGTCTGTCAGCGGAGTGGAGCCGTTTACCAGTCACTTCACTGCCCCACGACGGTCCGACATGACATGGCATGACTGACATGCGGTGCGTGCAGTGCACCCCTTGTGTCGGTGTCTTAGATACCCATGAAGTGAAGTGTGATTCAGACAGAGACAGACAGACAGACAGACAAGGATGCGACATGTGATGTGCGTCCATCCATCGTCACACGAGAGAGAGAGTGCTGGCAGGGTCATCCACCGAACGGTGTCTGTCTTACGGCTGACCTCACCGCACCCAGCAACACGACAGACACATTCTGACCCTTGCTTGACACGTTCGTGTGTGAGGGGTTTTAAGGGAGGGGGTCGCTTCGTGTGTCTGTGCGCGTACCTGCGTGAGAGACCGTGTTATGTATGAAGCACACACTAACAGAGTACCACTCTGCTGCGATGAGGCCTTCGAAGCCAATCAGTAGGTAGCAGTCCGCAGTATAGCGTGTCTGTCTCAGTGCTGTGTACCGTTGGGTCCATTGACGACCATCCCCCCATCCATCCATCCATCCAACCATCCATCCACTCCAGTGTGATTGATACTCAACCAGCCAGCCACCCACTAAACCAACACTCCTTCCCTCCCTCCCTGTCTGTCTCCCTGTCTGTCTCCCTCCCCCTGTCCATATGTGCAATCACTCAGTCAGTCAGTCAGTCCTGGCATGTACAGCGGCAGATAGGCAGGCAGGCAGGCCATTCTGGACAGCTATGCACAAGTCACTCAGTCGGTCGGCCAGGCGCACTGGGCAGATGGGGGGTTATGCAGTCGAACGCCAAAAGGAATAAGGGAAAAGAACTTCTCTCTCTCTCTCCATACCGTCTGGGGGAAAAGGAAACTGCGGCAGAGAAAAGAAGACATCTCAATGTGGCTATCGGTCGGGCAGTCTGTTGGTCGCTCGCTGGCCTATCTTGAAACGGGGCGAGCACAAAAGCCTCCCTCTCTCTCCTCTCCTCTCCTCGCTGGTCCCTCTCTCCCTCCGGCACACGGCCCCTTCCCCAAAGGCACTCGGTCGCCTCTCACTTGATCAATCCATCAATCCATCAAGGCACACACGCATAGACACATCCACCCACCCCTCCTGTCTGTACGTCTCCATCCATCCATCCATCCATCCAGCCAGCCAGCCAGCCATCGACACATGGACCCACCATGCCCGCCCCCACCTGGTCTGTGTGAGTGTGTGTGGATACTAGCTAGGACTTGTCAGTGTGCTTTGGCCGATAGGCCTGCTTGGGCCCGCCCCCGCCGCCCCCCTGGCGCCCAGTTCTGCGACGGCCGTCGCTACGGTCGTGTTTGGGCGAGTTGGTGCCGCCCTGCCCCTGGGTGGTGTCTCTGTGGCTGTGGCTGTGGCTGTCTCTGTGGCTGTGGGTGGTGTAGCTCTGGGACTGTCGGGCCTCGGCCTGCACTATCTCTTCGGCTGTGCCCGCAGAAACCATGCCCATGGCTAGTTCCATCTGCACATGGCCACCCTCCCGAACCGCACCACCACCACCACCATCACCCCTATCACAACGACCGTTGCTGTTGCTGCTGCTGTCCGCCGCACCGCTACTCTCGGACGGACGGCCACCCCGCTGCTGCTGCTGCTGCTGCTGGCTGCTGCTACTGCTGCTGGTGGCGGCATTAGCAGCAGAGCTGTCCGCCGGGCGTGACGGCAAGGCAGGAAAGTCGGCATCATACGGCAGGGGGTCGCCAGGCGCCAGCCCGCCACGCAAATTGCCGGACGAGGCCGGTGGGCTGCCATACGGCGGCGTCTGTGTGGGGCCCCGCGCCCGCTCCTGGTTGGCCTGGCGTGAGTGTGCGGGCGGCCCGGGCGCCTTGCTGCTCGGGCGAGGGGGCGGCTGCTGGGGGCGAGGTGGCACGGGTGCCTGGGGCCCTGGGGGCGCCGGCAGGTTGGCTCGCGGAACTGAGGTGCCTCCAGTGTTGCGGGTGCTGGTGTTGCCTGCTGCGAAGCTGGTGCTGGGTGGGCTGCCGTGTGGGCGTGAGGGGATGGGAGGCGGCTGGGACAAAGGGGGGAACTCGCAGTGGGGCCAGCCGTCATCCTGGGGGAAGTCGCATACACTGCACGCAGGCACGCAGGCAGAGAGACGGACGAGAAGGGTGCATGCCATCGGTCGGTTCGGTTGACATGTACATATATGTGTTGCTGCTGACGATGTGATGTGATGTGATGTGATGTACCTACCTTCCCTTCTCAACGCAGGCGGGGCAGTGCGGGGAGTATTGGGGCGCGTGGATGGACGACACCTCCTTGGTGTGATACCTGCACGACGGCTTGTGCCTGTGGAGAGGGAGGGACGGAGGGAGAGAGAGAGAGAAATGCATGACGAATGCAATGATTGCACACACGGCGTGGTTCGTTCATCGTCTGTGTGTTGTGGCCATGCACCCGCACCATCTGTTGTCGTGTGCGAAGGGTATCTTGCGGTTGACGCCACACTCCCAGCAGAACTCGAAGCCACACTTGCAGGTGACGTGGTCGCACTCACCCGCATCTGATGGAGGGATAGACAGAGAGATGCATGCCTGTTGGGGTCCTTCTCCCTCCCTCCCTGCCTGTGTCTGTCTGTCTGCACGTACCCTTGTATCCGCCTCCATAAGTGCATCCCGCCCTGGGGCAGGGACGCCATCCCTTCCTCATCAACTGCACACACACACAAAGGACAGACAGACAGACAGACAGACAGACAGACAGAAGTCCACACATGTGTGCGCGATGCGGTCTCCCCAGTTGGCCGACCCACGGACCTCTCGCTTGAGCTCCACTTCGTTCTTGGCGTTCTGGTTGTTCTGCTCATACAACTCCGTCAAACGCTCGCGGCACGTCTTGCCTGACACACACACACACACATACGAGGGGTGGATGAATGGTGCGGTGTGGTGTGGGTCAGTATATTTGTCTATGTGACCAGGGTGCGGTCCGTGGTCGCAGTCTGCGCAGAATCTGTGTCCCTTAAGACACATGAGGTTGGCGTTGTCGCTGCCGCTCTCACGGCACACCACCTCGCCACACCCCGCAATCGGACACGACACTATCGGGACGCTACACCTAACACAACACAAGACACGGAGAGAGAGACACACACCGAGAGAGAGCACGGGCGTCACACGCCGTCCATATGCATCCCTGTCCTGTGTGTGGAGCAAGGTGTGGAGTGTGTGGGTGGTACGGTACACACATGGTGGCTATGTTTTGTAGTTTGTCGGCGTCCTGTGGCCCCAGGATCTCCACAAACATGCCCATGAATCTTTCCATCTCGAGCCGGATCGTTCTGTCGTAGCACGAGGGGCAGCGGAGCTTATCGAACTCACGACTCTCTAACACAGCTGCACGCACACACACACACACACACACACACATAGCGGTGTTCCTCTATCTATCCCTCTCCTTGGATGAGAGCATCGCCTACATGTTCTGATTGCCGTTGCGAGGCAGTTTTTGCAGAATCGGTCCTGGCAGGGCAGCTCGTAGCTGCCGCCAATCTCCAGCCACTCCTGGCTGCATGCACACACCGCACCAGACACACAAAATGTGGCACACCACACGGGTGGGTGGGTGTGGTGTTTGTGTCGTGTCGGTCAATGCATTGAATGTCGTCATTCCATGGGTCGATCCCTAATAGTTACCTACCTACCAGATTGGGCACTGGAATTTGCCGCCTAGGTCCTGGAGCAGCTCGGGACATTTCTCGCCAAACAAACCCTGATAGACACCAACACATACATACGTACGTGCCAACCGCCCAGCCTGGCACCCAGCCTGGCAGCCACTTGTGTGTTACCGCGTAGGTTTCGACTGTTTTTTGGAGCTGCTTGATCTGGTCTGTGTAGTTGGCCTCAGCCACATGCATCTCTCGCAGCCGCTCCCTGAGCTTCTGCTCCGTCTCGCTGGCCTGGGTAATCTGTGCCGTGAGACGCTGCACCTGTTGGTCCTTGGTCTCGAGCTCGGTCTTGGTCTTCTCCTGGAGGTCCCGCATGTCCTTGGTCTGCTCCATGCGGACGTACCGCAGCTGCGTGTCGTAGTCCTGCTGCGCCTTGGACAGGCTGTGCCGCGCCGCCTCGACTTGCTGCAGCAGACGGGCCACCTCCTCCTCGTGCCGCTCCCCACCGTCACGCTCCATCTGCTCCACCCTGCTCTCGAGAAGCGCCTTCTCGGTGCCGATCGACTCGACCAGCTGCGCGAGCTCGTCGTTGCGCTCCCTGATGTCCTGCAGCTGGCCCTTCATGCTCTCGACCTCGGTGGTCCGCTTCTTGACCTGTTCGTCGAGCTCGTCGCGACGGCTCTCTGCCGCCTTGAGCTGCTCCTGCGTGTGTGTGAGCTGCTCCCGGTAGCCCTGGATGTCTTTGTAGTACTTGGCGGCATTCTCTTGGTAGATGGAGGCCATCCTGCTCATGTCGGTGAGCTCCTTGATGCGCCCCTCGCAGTGGGTGAGCTTCTGCTGGTAGTCGTGGAGGGTCTTCTGCTTGGTGTCCATCATCGTGAGGAGGCGGGTGCGCTCGTCGGTGGCCGCCTTGAGGTGCTCCTCGGCCTTGGCGAGGCGCGAGACGTGGTCGTTGTTGCTCTCCCTGAGGAGCTTGATGTGCCTGTTCTGCTTGTCCAGCTCCTGCTTCTTCTGGTCGCGATCCGCAGACACCTCACGCAGCTTGAGGTTCAAGTTCCTGACTATGTCAATCGCTATCCTGCACACAACACAAACTCTCGTGTGCTCTCTCTCGTGTGCTCTCTCTCGTGTGCTCTCGTGTGCTGTGTTCTGCTGTCGTGTGCCGTGTGTGGGCACGCACCTATCAGGTCTGGTTCGTCCCGCGTCGTCCTGGTTGCCCGTGTCACCATTCGGGATCGCATCGTCCGTCGTCAACGGCCGCTTAAGCACATTCGCCAGCCCCCCACCGCCCCCCGCCACGCCCGTGCGCCCGTTGAGCATGGCCCCGCCCCTGGCCGACCCCTCGCTGGAGACGTTGCTACCACTGTCATCGTCGCGGATGCGGGCACCAGCACGAGTGTGCGGCGCCGGCAGCAGGTTGTGCCCAGGCTTGGCCTGGCCGCCGGTGATCTCGTGTGCGTGTGGGCCCTGGCGCGGCGGTGGGGGCGGGTGCTTGGGGGCGGGAGGGGTGGTGGTCAGGGGGCCTGGGGGAGGGGGAGGAATACCGGGACTGACACAGACACAGACACACCCACGACGCAACACAACAGACAACACAACACAACATGTGCTGGTCGATGTGGTCGTTGTGTGTGGTGTCAGTCTGTCTGTCGGGTGGCTTGCTTACGGCAGGGCAGGGAAGTATGTGGTGGCGAGTTTCCGATAGTCAGGGTCCTGGAATAGGTCCTGCAGCTTGCCCGTGCGATGGTCGTTGAGGAGGGCGTAGCCGTCGAGGTGCTCACCCGCCTTGTCCGCTGCCGCCCGCTTGTCGCCCAGCAACTCAACGTGCTTGCCGCGCACCAAGATGATGCCGCGCAGCACCTTGGCCAACAAGGGCGACTGGTGGATGCGGTCGTAGAACTGACACACAGCCACACACACACACACAGCCACACACACACACACACACACCCAAGACACCCAGGCGCATCAACCACCCACCCCTGTGTGTGCCGTGCGCTGTGCTGTGCTGTCTGACCTCTCTGATGACGTGCATAGCGAATGCGTATTGGGAGTCGTTGTTCCTGTCCCTCATGGCGTCCCTGACCATGACGACAGCCATGCCGCGGAACTCCTTGGGCATGGCCTGGTCGCGCAGCATGACGGCCGTGAACTCCTTGGCCAGCACGTACAGCTGCTGCTGCCTGTCGATGGTGCTCAGGTTGAGCGTGTCGATGAGCTTGCGGGTGGGGTGGCGGAAGGCCCACATGATGCCCTGACCCTTGCCGGACATCTGACCCCCGTGAAAGGCTGACGGGTCGGACCGCAGCAGCTGGAGGGTGTTCTGGTACACCTTCGGGGCGAAATCGGGGTCGTCGGGAGATGCTGATGCATCGACGCATGGCAACACGATACACAACACAACACACCACAACAGACAAATGGGTGCGGGCATTGGTGTGGGGAGGGGATGTGAGATGGAGTGGAAGCGGCATCTCCTGCAGCATACCGTTGCATTGGATGAGGGTTTCAAGACATTGGGGGATGAGTCCACCTCGTCCCGGCTCATCGACCTCTCGAGGCACGTCTGCACACACACCACACCACCATCACACACAGCGCACAAACATCACCACCCATATCTGTGTGTGCGCAGCGAAGATACCCTGTGCTAGGAGGGCGTCAGGAGGTGGAGGTGATGGGGCGGTGGCAAAGCTGTTGGGCGGGGGAGGGCCCGCGTGGGACCCGACGAGCCCCGGACCACTGAGGAGCGTTGACATGGCCCTCAGCGCATCACAGGCCGGGATGCACACCGAATGATGAGTGGAGCGGGATGCCGGAGGGCGTCAGCCGGATGCGGGCCTCTGATGCACACACCACACAGCACCAGAGACGACACAGACAGGTTCGCCATGGGCGGCATGCGACCGAAGCCATGGAAATGTTGGCATTTCTTTCGCTATTCTCTTACTTTTTAAAACGCCGAACGAACAGGGCGAGAGGTGCAGGCGCAGGTTCAAACTACCACACGAGGAAAGGCGGGGATCCCCTGCGAGCTTCGGGTTAGGGCACATTTGTTTTACGCAATACGGAAGTTGAGCGAGCGTAAGCGGCGAGTTGAAGTTGTTTTAGGCCTCCCATAACCGGGAGAAGGCCGGTGCCCGTGCGTTCATCACTGCAGAGGTTTCTTCCATCCACAACGACATGACCAAGCCCGGCATCAAGAGGGTACGCGCCACCAAGCCAGGCATCACAAGGGCATGGCGGGCACCCACCAGGGCCATACGACGGCATGCATGCCTCTGTCTGTCAGGCGGCGCCCGACGAGCCGCGCAAGTCCCAGTACCAGTTGCGCGGCGGCCGCGGGAGCGATGAGGCGCTCCTGGCGGGCATCGAGTCCGACCGTCGGCTGTCCAAGAAGCTCAAGCAGCGGCAGATCGAGGAGCAGGCCCAGCAGCAGGTCCAGCAGGTGCTCAAGGAGTTGCAGCAGCCCAACGCCAAGGATCGTGACCTGGCGCTGGGCCATGGGGCAGCCCGGCTCAAGCTGCTGGCGCCCGACCTGAACCACCAGGAGATGGAAGACGGCCACCTGATGCCCCAGTACCCCTCCCTCAACCTCGCACACGGACAAGGCGTAAGTCAGCAAAGAGAAACAGAGAGAGGGCGGGGGAGGGAGAGATGGGTGTGGTCATGGTGTGTGGTGTCTGTCAAAACAACAGGATCGGTATGCCGTGTCCGGAGAGTTTCTGAGCAGCTGCGGCGACGCCTTCAAGGAGTTGCGCGGCTACACTGTGGATCGCATCTTCGACGCCTGCAGCCGCATGCGGGTGTGCAAGGAGGCGCTGCCGCTCGCCGTGCGGCTCCTCGACTACTACACACACACACGTGAGTGGAGGGAGTGAGCCATACCGACACCTGGCAGGCACCACACACATCATGCCGGCCTTGTGTATGTGTGTGTGATTCGTATCAGTGTGGGCCAAGGGAGAGAGTTTGTTACAGAGGAATGTGGTAGCGGTAAGTACGAACACTCACACACACACCGCACCCACACACCCAACACTGTGTGTGTGTGTGTGTGTGTGTGTGTCATCCGTCCACTTACCTGGCAGGTGGGTTACACGTGTTTGCTGATAGCGTCCAAGTACGAGGAGCGTGAGCCGGTGGTCATCAACGACCTCATCACACTCATGAACGAGGTGCCCATCGGCAAGAGGGACCGCGACTACACACGCATCGACTTCCTCAGGATCGAACAACACATCCTCATGTTAGTCAAGTGGGCCACACACACACGACTAAAGAGCCCCTTTCCCTCCCTCCCTCCCTCTGTCATTCAACTCAACGTATGTGTGTTGTGTTGTGTTGTGTGCAGGACGATTGGAATGGAGTTGCCGAGCCCAACGTACTGTGCGTTCAGCGACCGGTTCGCCAAGGCCGGCAGCATCCCTCTGGACACTAAGGACCACGCATTCGTGCAGTTCCTCCAGGTGCGTATCCACCACTGCGGCGCACACACACATGGGACGGACAAAGGGATGGATGGATGGTGTGGTGTGTACGGCACATCTCACCTGCCATGGGGTCTCTCTCCTCTCTGTGCATTGCAGGAGTTGGCGTTGACGGACTACACATTTTCGCAGTACAAATCCAACATCATCTCGGTGAGTGAGGCAGTCAGCCCACTTCACTTAATTGAGCCACACACACGCCATACCATACACACAACACAAGGCGATCCATTTATCCGTTTGTCCGTCAGGCTGCGGCGGTGTACATGACTCGCAAGATGTGGCTGCTCATGCCGGGACAGCCCCGACACGGAGAGCCTAGCTGGGTCAGTCAGTGAGGGCAGTGAGTGGAGTGAGACGATGGGCGGGAGGGAGGGGGGGGCACACCGACACACAGGACATGTGTGTGTGTGGGCCTGGCTGCGTGCCTTCCTCTCCTCTCGTGTGTGCAGACGGAGACGTTGAAGCGTGTGACGGGCGTGCAGAAGTCTCAGATGACCTCCTGCGCATACGAGATGGCCAGGCTCCTCCGATCTCTGAACCGCCCGCACATAGCCATCGTACGCAACACCTTACACAGCACCTGCAATGGCTGAATGAGTGGATGGATGGATGGATGGCCCCACTGCCCCTCTGTGTGTCCTGTCCTGCCCTGCAGGGCAAGCAGGACGGCTGCATTGCCAAGTGGTCGACGCCCGCCAACTACAACATCGCCTCGGTCTTCTACGACTGACTGACTGACGCACCAACCACACCAACCACACCAATTGCCCCACACCCTCGTAGATAGAGATTCCCACCCACCTTCGATGGCTGACTCAGAGACAGACCGGATCCATGTTTGTGCATATGTATGTGTGGGTGTGTGTGCAGACGTGACGCGACGTGTGTGTCTTTTCTTTGGTTTGTGAGCGCACTGACCTCGTCTCTTTTGGGGAGGGAGTAATGGGATGTCTTGTGCTTCGTGTGCCAGTGTCTTGTGCAGCCGAGGAGGGATGCTTGTCTCTGTGTGTGGTGTGGGGCGTGGGTTGGTGTGTCGGTGCCATCCAGACAACTCAGCAGACAGTGTCTGTCGCTCGCTCTCCCGTAGCTAGCTCCTAGCTTCTCTCTCTCCCCTCTGTGTCGATTGGCCTGCCTGCCGCGTCGTGTTGCGTCCCTTGAGCTGACTTTTGCCGCCCCATCAAACACACACACACAGAGAAAGGGACACGGAGAGAGCGACACATGGCACCCACACCACCCGACCCTCCCGCCCACATCTCCAACTTTGTCTTTTGTCCCATTCGGGATACTCCCTGCCTGCCTGTCTGTCTGCCTCTATCGTGTCTACATGCAATTCGGCTGCCAGCACGTAGCCATTGCTGGCCGGATGGACGGATGGATGGTTGGATGGATGGACGGGGGGGAGAGGGAGAGGGAGAGGGGAAAGTCGAGTGTCTGCAGGCACCAGCACACAAAGTGGTACTTACACGATCGATGGATGGATGCTCGACGCTCTGGATGGACCGACCGATACAGCAAATCTTACGTGTCCGTCTCACGTTGAGACACATACCACACACACACCCACCGAGAAACTTTCCATATATATATATATATAAAGGACCAAACACTGTACGCCAATAAACGGCACAGACGCACCAAAACAAGACACAGGCACTCGCACACACATTCCACGTGTGCGGCCGGCCGTCCGTCCGTCGGTCAGCCTGCAAGCCAGCCTGTCACTTGGGCAGCTCGCCGCAGTCCTGGATGAGCACCGGTGCGGCGAGGCTGGCCATACGCCACAAAGACGGCCCATCTGTCATGTCATCCAGGGTGGCCCGCCCATCGCCGCTGCCCCTGCCCTTGGTCTTCCTGCTGGCCACCGTGAGGGAGAGCCCGTGCAGGTAGCTGACGGTCGGGAGGTCGTCGATGATGCCGACGACCGTGTCCCACACACTGCACCGATTGGTCGACGACACTGTAATCGAGAAGCGGCTGCCTGCACTCACTCACGCACACATAAATAACGAGCATAAAGAGAGAGTTTGAGCATGTCAGCTGCGCCCGCGCCGAGAGGCGTAGCCTACCGTGCAGTTTGTGTTTCGGGTTGCCCTTCTTGTCGGTCGATTTCTCGCCCAGACACGCCACCATGCCCGGCCGCCGGGGTGCGATGAGGGACGTGTGGTGGTCCCATCTCGTGTGGTGCATGCCATAGATGCTCTCGGTGTAGACTTTGTGGCTGCTGTCCAGAAAGCCCCCAATCAGCTCGGCGCCTTCAAAGGCAGAGGGAATATTCGTGCCTGAACACAAAGCGGGCAGGATGGCATGGCAAGAAGCGCATGTTGACTCCCATGTGTCCATCCATGCCTGCAGCCGTGTCTGTGGCGCCTGTGGCTGACCGACTGACCTTTGTAGTGCAGCGGGTATCCTGAGGTGCCGTTGCCCTTCTCGCCCGTGCAGAAGCACCTGACACATGAACGAATCAAGCCAGCAATCGTTGTTGGCTGCATTTGGCTCACTCGTCGATTTCACCTGAAGTTCTCGGCCGCCTTGGGGTTGACGTCGGTGAAGAGGGTGATGACGATGCGCTTCGACCTGCTGCTTGTGTGAACCTTGAGGTCGAAGAACACCTTCGGCCGCTGACACAACCAACAGGATGAACGAAACACTTGGGAAGACGGTTCCCCTCCCTCCCTCCCTCCCTCCGTGTGTGCATGTGTCGGGCTGTGCAGTTCTCTTGCCTTTGGTGTCGGGCTGTTGGCGACCTTTCGCGCGCACAGGAAGCCCTCCGTCATGTGTTCGATGAGCTTGGCGCACTCTGCCTTCACCTGATCAGACAGACATGCGCACACGCTGGCTGCCGATGGGCGTCACTCTTTGTCCGGGTCACCAATTGGTCCGGGCTCGGTTTGACTTTGAAGCAAATGGTCCTCCAGAGGTCAGTGGTCTCCTGACAACACAGACACAGGCAGAGATGAAAGGCCACTTGTTGGTTGATATGGATGCATTTTCGCAGGCGATGGATGCATTCTTGCCCGTGTACCTTGAGCAGCTTGGCCCAGTTAGTGTAGTCGACGTGCAGGGTCAAATACGAGTCGAGCTCGCGCAGCAGGTCCAGCAGATCGTCAGTGGCCTGGAGTGACACAACAGACAGCGTGAGAGGGCATCCATCCCGAAGCCCACGCCCACATTGATGGCGAGTGCGCTCTTGATGGATCTCTCGAAGTCCCTCAGCCGCTTGACAGTCTCGGTGAGGTCGTTGGCCTGCCGCCTCTCTTCAGCCAGCCTATCGAGCACCGCCTCCTCCTTCTCCCTGGCAGTCTCTGGGTCGTCGACAGACGGCAGCCGCGCAGCAGCTGACGGGACAGAAGCCAACAGATGCCCTTGTTCTGTGCATGTGTGTGTGTATGGTGTAGGCACCCGGTGGACGGCCGGTGAGGGTGTTGAGGAGCTGGTCGATGGGCTTGGGCTCGGCCGTCTTGAAGCTGTCGACGATCCGAATGAACTCAGCCACGATGTCCCTCTGCAGTCGGCCCAGCTGCTGCTTCACCAGCACACCCTTGTCGATGGCCTTGCCCCTGCTCTGCACAGCACATGTGACCAATCAGCAATGCCCTTGCCGTGCTCCTCTACTTGATGCATGGCTGACCTTGAGTTTGGCCATGTCCTGGTCGGCCTTCGCGTCAAGGGCTGTCGCGAGGACGGATTGCCGTGCCCACAGAGCCTGCCGCACCCACTCGCCAACCCACCTCTCGTCCACCGAGGGTACCAGGTGGCCGCCCGTCGCGTGGCGCACAAACCGGGACCACCGGGTGCGCTCGAGTGGCGAAGCGGCGAGACTCGAAAAGTCCAGAAGGTGGTCTCGCAGCATGGCCAGCGGCATCCCGCTGAATCTCTTGGTCGCAGAGGTCTCCAGAGCCGAGATGAGCACACAAAAGGCCGTGGGAATGACGAGGACGCCTTCATCGAGCAGGTAGAGGTGCGGGCTCCCAGGGGCGGTGTATCCGAAGGTGACGAACCGCACAGTGGAGATGCCCTCCCGCTGCAGATCACGGATGGCGGCACTGGCGGCAGAGAAGCTGCGCGTCACATCCTCGGTGGACGGGCAGGGCGACATAGCCAAGGGCAGGAACCGAAGGGCCGAACACTCCGAAGCGCCAGATTCACCACCAAACGTCGCATCGACCGCACAGACAACAGCGCCACAACCGAGGAACAATGGGTCCAGGTAGAGATGCAGATCCACTTCGCCTGGCTGAGGTCCACCGACCTCGCCAGTCGTAGCCACAGCAGATGCAGATGCCTCTTTGGTGGCCGCCATGCCAGCGAGGCACTTCTCGATG